AACAACAACAACAACAATGCAAGTTTATAGAGAACATGGATTTCCATTCATTTGTTATTGCACATTTCCCTCCCTGTCCCCTCTCCCCGCCTAATTCTCTCTTCTCTTTGTGGGGGGGAGGGGGGGGGTAAAAAAGGACTGTAAATCTTAACAGGAAGAGACTGCCTGCCTTTCTCCCATGGAGCAGATAATATTTGAACTGCCACCTTTCAATTACTAGTCCAGCCATAGCATATTGTGCTGCCAATGAAAAGGCCGAACATCTCCAATCGTTCAAATCCACCAGCATTTCTGAGGATGAAAGGTGGACATTGTCTTCCCATTAAAGTTTATAGCCATAAAAATCTGATAAAGTTTCAGCTATGGGTTCCATTCCATCCAGTGGCAGTGTGTGAATGAGCTCTTATTTCAGAGTTTGTGTTTTCATACATTATGGGTGCTAAACCCTAAAATAAAGAGTATACGGAAAATAGAATACATGACCAATCTTTAGACATTTCTATAAATGATAATTTTATATTCTAGAAATAAAAATATGGTACCTTTAAGCACAAACTATTAATGTATTCCACTTAGTCAATAAATGATCTAAATTATTTAATATCTTTCTACCTCTGATACTCTTAAATAATTATTCTTACTTTATTTTATATCCTGAGAAGGGAGGGGAAATTTCATGGATTACATTAATTCTTTCATTTTGTTTTCATTGAAAAATAGTAACTCTAGTTATACCTTCCATTTCTTTAATATTTACAGAGGCTGTACTTCAAAGAAGAAAAGAATTTATAGCAAAAAAAAATCCTATCAAGAAGGAAAGAAGTAGACTTATTTTAGATTTTTTTTTACAAAAAATACCCTGCCTCATTAATAATCAATATCATCAAGATCTACAATCTTTTTTTGTTAAACTTCATCAAGAAAAAGAATTTATTACAATATCTTCTTCTAGAATCTAAAATCCCATTTTTAATCAAATGGGCTCTTGAGCAGCTACTGTATATTCCCAGTAATTGAATCTGGAATTTGACAAAATTTAGTGATACTGTTTTTTATCTGTAGTGTTAATATTTTCTTTTTTAAATCATTAATTTTTTTGACCTTTATTCTTTGTTCTTTCTTTTAAATAGATTTTCAGAGATTCTGGGCTTCCACTCATTCATTGCTGCACCACTCTCTCCACCCTCCTCCCAGTTTGTTCTTGTCCAAATGCCACAGTGCTTGTCAAAGCCAGTTCTGATTAATCTCCTTTGTCAGTGTGTCCTTTGCCATTCCCTATCACTCCTCCCTGAGAGAGACTTCACCCTGATTCATAAGGAAAAGGGGATGGTGTATTCTCTTAGCTACTTCCTGCTGAAAAGGAACGCTGTAGGTTTCAGGGTGAAGATCTTCTCACTACCCTAAAGGGCCCCTTTGGAAATAGGAAACACATAGACTATTGTGGAATTTTATGTGGTATTGTATGTGTATCTTACGCACGTGCGTGCACGCACACACCCCCACCCCTAAACATTTGTAATTGTCATCTTAAAGAATGAAACAAATTAGCTATAGCAGTTATTTTTCCAGTTTAGTATTTAACAATACTAACCTCTACTAGGTATTTTTAGAATTTTTTAAAGATATATAATATGGCTTTGGAGATACTGATATTTTAACATTATTAGAACATCACTCTATGTGTGTACACACCCACACCCGCACCTGCACCCTCGCACACACACACACTCTCTACAGGAGCCATGGTGGCACAGTGGTTAAAGAGGTTGGCAGTTGTATGGTTGGCAGTTTGAATTCACCAGTTGCTCTGCAAGAGAAAGATGTGATAGTCTGCTACTATAAAGATTTACAGAATTTTTTTCAGATGGGTTTTTTAGTGCTTGTTTGTCTTTTCTTTTTGATTCAAAGTAGTCATCTTTGACTTTTAATTTAAAAATTCAGCACATTTACATTTAATGTAATTGTTTCTTTCTATTTGTTTTTTTCTTTCTGCCTCTTCCTCCATACCTCCTCTACCTCACTCACTCTTCTTGCTGTCTGTCTTTTGGAGTAATTAAGTCTTGAAAATTATGTTTTCCCCTTGCGCTTATGAACTTACTACTTATTCATTCTTTTTCAAATATATAGAAACTAAATATTGGTCCTGACCCAGATTGGAATTTCCAATATGGAAGAGAATATTCAAATCTCTTCTAACTATCTAAATTTGAAAGCATGCACCTCAAAACATGCTTGATACATTAACTCATCTTTGCATGGGTCAATCATTGGTGGAGAATAGACAGGGCTTGCATATCTTGCATATGATCCACATGTCTAAAAGCTTAGTCAAACTGTCTGTCCTTTAGGTTTTCAGCAGAGTTTTTGTTAATATTTGATGAATCTTAGGGAATTCAGGTGACATAGTGGGTAAGGAGTTGTGTTGTTAACCCAAAGGCAGGCAGTTCAAATTCACCAGCTTTCTGCCAGAGAACTATGGGAAATCACTTCCTGCATAATTTATAGCCTCTGAAAATCTGCTGGAAGATCAACCTTGAGTCAGTTAATTCCAATTCGGCGACAGTGAGTTTAGATATCAATTGCTAAAATTTGTAGAGAATTTGGCATTATATAGTAGAGAAGCAGCCAGGTCGGTTTTTGTTTTGGGTGTTTCTAGGTTTTGGGTTTTGTGGGGTTTTTTTGTTTTGGTTTTTTTATGGCTGCCTGCAGTTTCAGAGCTCATAGTCCAAGGGGACCTATGTTTAATTTTGTCTTGTAGAATTTAAGGAGTCTGTCTAAGTCAATACACCTGGGAAGGTAATAATAACTCATTTACAACAGGAGGTTGGCAAAATTCTGTTATTTATTTCTTAGCCAGAAGCAGTTCTGCATTCATTGTAGTCCTTGGATGAGTTGAATGGTGTTCTTACTTTCTCTTTCTGGTCATTTAGAAAATACCTCACCTTAGATACTGCTAAGAAATTGGTGAATCATTTCAAAGTGGAAAACTAGCTCTCAGAAATTAAAGCTTACTGACAAATGTCTGGGGTTGTTAGTCATAAACCAATTAAGATTGGAATCCATCTGCCAAAAGTGAAGCTGTTACCCAAATAGTTAATATTATGCCATTTTTCTTGACAATAATTAAATAGCATGCATCTGTTCATCCAGCAGCTAGATCAACTCATTAAGACAGAGGTTAAAAAGAAAAGCGGGAACAATTATATCTTTCTTCCCAAGAGGGTTTGCATTTGAAACAGGGCCACAAGAAAAAAGGTAATGGTTGGCCCCAAAACATCTCTAATGGTTTCAGATATTGTTCTGCTTCATTAACCAAACCCCCAGCTTCCCCTTCCTTATAGGTGGGATAGAGAGAAAGGCAGACATGTTTACAGGTGATTTGAGAGTTAAAGATGGACATTAGAAATTAAAACATGATCAAAGTGGAAGTCAAATTTAAATTCATTTCCTGCCTTTATGAAACAAACGTTATTCTGATTATTTCAGAATTTTTATAATCTCCTTTTTTTTTCTCCTCCCTTCAGGTGTGTCCTCTTTAAGTATTCAGTTTGCCAAACTCCCAAAGGGACTAAAGTATTTAAATTTATCTAAAACCTCATTATCACCTAAAGGTACAGTATCACTTACTTCACAGTTTATCTTTTGTATTCCTGTTGCACCATACTACTGTTGAGAACTGACTGCACAATTATGTATGCATTTTAAAATCTCTATATTATTATGAAATTATATTATTATATCATTAAAAGATAAATATTGCCTGGTAGTTTAAAGATTTAAAAATTATGTATGTAATTTGAGTTCTGGATGTCAAACATTAAGTGCTTTGAGAGTTGAGGATAATTTAGAAAGACATAGCACAGTCTGTAACTTTTAAAATGTGGAGTCCAGTGATGCACACAAAGTGCTTCACATTTATAGAAGCAGCTAATTGTATTTTTCTTTCTAGGTTATTTTCATGGAAAAATTAGCTTTCAAAGTTACTTACTCTAAAGGAAGTGTTGTCCTACCTGTTGGATCACTGCCATCTGTGTTTCCCATCCCTAGGAATTGTCCTTTCTTTTTTAGATCCATTCCCCATTCCATTCACCTCACATCACATTTGTTCAATTGTTGCCAATCCTCTTCTCAGAAATTTTCAAGTGACTGCCAACAAATTGATTCCAACTCATAGCAACCCTCTGTCTGTTTTTTGAGGCTGTATAGAAGGCTGCCATCTTTTTCCCATAAAGCTGCTGTAGATTTGAACTACTGGAGATAGACAACTTTTTGGTTAACAGCACAACACACTAGGTTAAAGACATCAGTGCTACTTTCCTACTCCTATTATTCTTTTAAAATATATTGCTAAGCCTAACTCATTGGCCATTTGAATCCCAACTTATGTCAAACCTACAGGACAGAGTAAGGTTTTATCTTACTCTGTAATCTTTATGGAAGCAGACTATTGTATCTTTCTATCATGGAGTAACTGGTGGGTGCAAACTACTGGTCATCCAGTTGCCAGTGAAGTATGTATCTGCTGCATCTTTTAGGGCTTACCCCCTCTTCTTACTGTTGTTATTGTTAGATGCTGTTGAACTGACTATGGCTCAGTGACCTGATGAACAGCAGATCTGAACCCTATCCTCCCATGTGCCATTCCCATCTTCTCTGACACTCTTGTGTATGACACACATTGCTGCAGCTACTGTGTCAGTCCATCTCACTGAGGACCTTCCTCTCTTTCATCGATCCTCCATGTCTCCAAGCATGACACCATTTCCAAGGAATAGGTAGAACCCTCTTAATACTTGAAGTTACCCTTCTGTATAGATCGGGCCATCATACATCCTGCTGGTCTCCTTCAGATGTCTGAAATGTACTTCTTTAATCCTCGAATCTTTGTAGAGAACTTTAAGTTCATGGTATAAAACTTTCATCTCTGATCACATTTTTTGAATTGGTTTCTCTATTTCTGATTTCAAAGAAGACTGAATCACCCTTTTCTTTGTTTTGCTCATAGACAACACGTGTGACATTGTTATAAAAATACCATGTCATTCCTAGAATGGGCTCTGCTTACAACCTGTGCTTTTCTCATCTCTGTAGCTCCAGCACCTGGCACCAAGCCTGGACCACTGTGGGTGTTCAGTGAAAGGTGTTGAGCTGAATAACTTGCCATTTCTTAAATATATCATTGGAAGCAGTGTGCATAGTTGTTAAAGTATAAATTCTCAAGTTAAATTTCCTTGGGTTGAATCCTGACTTTAAAATATTAGCTCTACATATGAGCATGTTTTATTAATCTCTGTCTCTCACTTACCTCATTTGTAATGAGGATGTAAAGTATGTACCTCCTTAAGTAGATTGATAGAGCTAATATAGGTGTTGTGTAACTTTATATAAAAAGGACTCAATGTATACCAGCCACCAACATCACCATCATGAGTACCACCATCACTATCATCATCATCATCATCATCATCTGCTGTCATATGGTTTATAAGTTTTTATTTCGGGCTAGAACAACCTCATGTCTCCATCAACATACTGTGAGACTCTATGCTTATCTGTAAGATGCAGCTCACTGTCTCTTTGAAAACTTCTCAGAAAACCTCCCCTACCACACTCTGCAGACCTAGTTGTTCCTGTCTGTCTATTACATGCTGTTTTTGTTACTGTTGTTGTTAGGTGCCATCAAGTACAACCCACAGTGACTCTATGAGCAACAGATCTGAAACATGTCCTGTCCTGTGCCACCCTCATACTTCCTGACACAGTAGAGTTTATTGCGGGAGTCACTGTGTCATTCCACCTGGTTGAAGGTCATTATCTCCTCCACCTACCCTCTGCCTTCCTGAGCACATGAACATTCATTAGTGAGATGAGATGGACTAGCTTTGGACACTTTGAATCGCATGGTATACTAGGAATGAAAAACAGAAGAAGAATGGTGTTGCATTATTAGTAAAAATGTCAATTTCAGGTTCTGTCCTGAAATACGATGTTGTAATTGATAGGATATTATCTGTATGCAAACAAGTGATAGGATATATCCATATGCATTGAAATATTTGCTGCTACATCTAGAGCCAAAGAGTAAGACATTGAAAAATTTTACCAAATGTCACAGTCTGAAAGTGACCTAACATACAGTGAAGATGGATTAATGATGATTGGTGACCGGAATGCAAAAGTTGGAGACAATGAAGAAGAAACAGTAGTTGGAAAATACGGGCTTGATGTTAGAAATGAGGCTGGAAATAGAATGATCAAATTTTATATTTTCAATGATTTATTCATTGCAAATACCTTTTTAAAAAAACCATAACAATAATTTTACATATAGACTTCTCTTCATGAACTGCATAGGAATCAGATTGACTGCATCTATGGAAGGAATCATTAAAGAATGGCAATATCAGTAATCAAAACTAGGCCAGCTGTGGACTATGGATCAGGCCGTCAATTACTCATGTGTAGGTTCAAATTGAAGCTGAAGAAAATAAAAACATGTCCACAAAAAACCCAAAACATGATCTATTCCATCTGATTTTTAAAATAATCTTAAAAAATAGGTTTGAAGCATTGAACACCAGTGATCAAAGACCAGATGAGTTGTGGGGTGATAACAAGGATAACATCCATGAAGAGAACAAAAGGTCACTGCAGAGAGGAGAAAGCAGAAACTGAAATAGATGTCAGAAGAGACTCTGAAGATTGCACTAGCATGTTTAGAAGCCAAAACAAGGGGAAACATGCTGAAGTAAAGAATTTCTCTGTTACATAGAACTTTGTGAATGTGTCAGTGTTTGTTAGCATTTCCCCCAATTGCATTTTGATAGTGTCCCAGAATGGGAGATTCTGGACTGTGAGGTCTTTGCCTTATTCATTGCTGACTCCCCAGCACCTACCTGGCACATTGCATGTATTTGCTAAATGAACTGAAGTGAATGTGAACTAACATGGTTCCCAGAGGGTTTTGTATCTACTCATACATTAGTCTGAATGTAGTCATCCTACAAATGATTTGCAAGTAGTGCCATACAGCACATGATTTTTTGTGCAAACATTTACATACACACTACTAGAGGGACTACTACTACTACTAAATAGACTACTAGAGGGAAGGATTTGCTTTGGAATCAGTGTTTGTTGCTAGCTCCTAAAGCTTATTTTCTCCCTATTGCATGATTGCTGTTGTACTATAGCAAAACGCATCTTATAAAACCTCTTCCTGATGATTATCAATGTGTTACATATTTATGGGAAAGATTTTGAAGGAAGTCTTACAAAAGCAAGTATATGTAAATAAGTATGGGATTGAGACTCAATGTTAAGAAGACAAAGATTCTCACCATTGGACCAATTGGCAGCATCAGGATGGATGGTGAAGATACTGAGATTGTTCACAGCTTTAGTTTGCTTGGCTTCAGAGTCGACACTCTCGGCACCAGTAGCCAGGAAATTAAAAGACAAATTGCGATGGGAAAGTCTGCTGTTAGGGACCCTTCCAAAGTACTGAAGAGCAGTGGTATGCCTCTGGAGACTAAGATGCATCTGATACAGGCCATAGTCTTTGCTATCACTTTTTTTGCATCAGAGAATTGGACAACGACTAAGGATGATAGAAGGAGATTTGATGCCTTTGAGCTGTGGTGCTGGAGAAGAGTGTTGAGGGTACCATGGACTGCCAAGAATACAAACAGATTCATCCTGGAAAGGGTTAAACCAGGCAGCTCCTTGGAGGCAAGGATTCTGAGGCTCTGTCTAACCTACCTTGGACATGTTGTAAGGAGAGACAGGTCCTTGGAGAGAGACATCATGCTTGGGAGGGTGGAGGGACAGCGCAGGAGGGCAAGGCCCTCTGGGAGGTGGATTGATTCAGTGACTGGGGTAATCAGGATGGGTGTGTCAGAAGCAGTGCGATTGGCACAGGATAGAGCAGGTTTAGGGCTGTTGTACATAGGGTCGCTATGAGTCGCAAGCAACTGGATGGCACATAACAACAACAACAACATGCAAAAATTACTTATAAACCCTTATACATCACAAAATAGTCACTGTTCACAATTTGATATCGTCTTTCCTCACTGGTTTCTGTTGAATGTCTCGTTTATGTGTCTGTGCATAGTGTGTGTGTGTGTGTGTGCACTGTTCACAATTTGATATCGTCTTTCCTCACTGGTTTCTGTTGAATGTCTCGTTTATGTGTCTGTGCATAGTGTGTGTGTGTGTGTGTGTGTGTGTGTGTACAAACACGTATAAATATACACATACAAACATGTGCACATATGCTCACACATAAATGAAGTCACACTATGCTTACTACTTCATAGGTTTTGCCACCCCCACCCCCATTGTATTGTGATTGCTTATTTCAATAAATACATTGTCACCTTTAATGAAACATAATATTCTAGGATATGGAATGATGCTCCATATTTATTTAAATACTCTGTGTGTGCTTTCCCATTTTTCTTAATGCTGTATAAGCACCACTAACCTGAATTTTGTAGCTAAATATTAATAATTTCATTTTTTAATTTTATACTGGTTTATTTACAAAGTTCAAATACATTGTTTTTCCACACCCAATCTTTCCCATTTCCTTCACCTCCCAACATTAAATTGTGCCACCCTATGATTACCTTCCCCATCCTCAACCCTCTGCTTCCTCCACCTGCATCCTGGATCCTCATACTTGTTCTACTATAATGGTCCTATACAATATTTGTCCTTATGGGACTGAGTCAGTTCACTTAGCATAATACACTCCAGGTCCTCCCAAGTAGGTAGAAGTTTACAAAATCATTGGTCCTGCATGCTGTGTAGTATTCCATCATGTAACGGTGCCACACTTTCTCAATCCAATCAGTTATGTTTGGACATTTGGGCTGTGTCCATGTTCTTGCGAGGTGAATAATGCTACTATGAACATTGGTGTACAAGTCTCCATTTGTGCCTCAGTTCTCATTCTCCTGGGGTATATTCCAGGCAGTGCAATTGAGTCAGATGCAATTTCTTTGTTCACCTTTTTGAGTAAGCGCCAAACTGCCTTCCAGAGTGATTGTGCCATTTTACAATCCCACCAACAGTGTATAAGAGTTCCTATCTTGCCACATCCTGTCTAGCATTTTTTTTACTTGTTGTTCTCTTAAACTTTGCCACTGCTACTGGAGTGAGATGGTATCTCATTGTGGTTTTGATTTGTATCTCTATTATTGCCAGTGATTTTGAGCATTTCTTCATATGTCTGTTGCCCATTCAAGTATCTTCTGGGAAAATTCTTTCCATGTCTTTTGTCCATTTTGTAATCGTTATTATAATAATTCCTATTTTAGGATAATTTCCTGTAGGAAGCATTACTAAATTAAAGAGATTGTGGCCTTTTTTTCCTGTTTATTGCCCAAGAAAGTCTAGTGGTATAGCCTGTAGGAAGTTGCAGTGTTAACCCAACGGTGGTACATCTCTGGCATCTTGAATTCAATAGGGATATGAAGGGAGAAGTGAAATCTTGGAGGTAATCTCCTCCCATGCAATTTATAGCCTCCAAAATCCCAATAGAGGATCAATTTGAATTGGTTCCTATGCAATAGTAATGCGCTTGAGTGTTTTTGTCATTTATTGCCACAATGTTCTGCAAACAATTTGTACAAATTTAATCACATTTTTACCATCACTAGATATCATTCTTTTTTTTTTCATTGTCAGTCCTGTGATTTAATTTTACTTGCTGTATTTTTTTCTTTCCAAATTGCTTCCCTCTCCGTTTGTTCATCAGTCATTTTTGGACGTGGTAGTGGTTCAGTGTTAGTGTTCTTTCCTTCTGTGAAGGAGACCCGATCCACTTCCCAACCTGTGTAGCCAATTTTCACAGTCACCCATCCCAGGAGATGATTGTATGTTGCTGTGGTGCTCAGATGGCTTTAGTGGAGCTTCCACCCTAAGACAGATAAGAGGGAAAGACATGATCACATATCTCCAAAAATCAACCAGTGAAACCCTGTGGAGCATATAGTCTCATCTACAACTGATCGTGGTGGCGGCACTGGATTGCAACGTGTTTCCATCCATTGTATGTGTGGGGTTGCTGTGAGTGGGAGACTGACTCAGGAGCTGAAACTATGTAGTCATTTATATTTCTTAAGGAAGAGCTGCCAACTGGCATCCTTTATTTATTGACAGTGGTAGTCTTTTTTCCTTGTACAAATTCTCTATGTAATAAAAGCTCTAATCATCTATCATATGCCCTTTGGCAACATTTTAACTCTTAAAGGATAGGGTTATGTTTTCTGTTTTAAAACTGAGTTTTATTTTGATTTGTTTCTTCATTACTGTAGAACACATAGAAGGATGTGGTGATCATTTGTCCTTCCTAGGAAGAATTTTCATTCTCAGGTGCTTCTACACTACCTCTAGTTGATAATTGTGCCTCCCTTGAGTGTGGGGCTGGGGCACCCAGCAAAGCTGATTCCTCAGTTTCCTTGTGAGGGAGGAAAGCTTTCTATTCCTCTGAACACCACGTTTATCTCTTCTCTGCAGTGAGCTATGTGCATGTTAGAAAGTGTGTTTTAGAAATTAGCATTATTTTACCTTATCCAAAAGTGTGGTTGAGTTGAAGTACACTCATTCCTGACCTTCCATTGGGTTTCTGAGACTGTACATCACCTGAGAGGAAATTACCCATCAAAATAAGAAATTAAAATTGACTTGAGAACTTTTGTTATTTTTACAGACTTTCACATGAGAGCTGAAAAGTTTTCAGGTTCAATATAACGGATTAAATTACTGCTTTAAGCTTTTGCTGATTTTGACAAACTTGTTTTAGTTCTGTGAAAATGTTTATGTTTACAGCTCTATGATTCTAGACAGACTGTTGTTTTGTTGATTTCCCCTCCCATCTCTCCATGATATAGCCCCACCACCTCCAGAAACCTTTTATTTTCCTCAGATGTTAGCTAAATGATAGTTCTCTGGATTTCTAGCAAATGTCCTGCTGGTTGCCAGATTATGCCAAAGCATGGCCATCTGGTACACCTTTTTCCAGCTGTAAACACTCCAATAATAAAGACAGAGACTGATCAGAATTGCTGGGCAGCCAGAGAATGGCATGCAGATCTGTATTTTGTTTGGGTTGTAAGAGCCCTGATACTTCCATCCTACACTCTTATAATTTCCTGCTTTTAGAGGGCTTATTAACAGAGGCCTCACATGAGGATGGGCTCTGAATGCGGGGGCGGGGGGAGGGGAACTCTGTGTTCTGGTTCAGGAGCATGAAGCTGAGCCTATAACAGGATTCTCTCCTGATTCTGTTCAGATCCTAGCTAGCTGCCAAGTGCCTGCGCTTGTCAAGGAGCATTTCACTGTCAGGACTAATTTGGTCTTCTAATCTGGAATTTATTTATCGAGTTTCGTTATACCTCACCATGGAAATTATTTTGTGAATGATTTCCTTGATGAGAGCCTGGCATCCTTTTGTATGTTTTCAGCTCCACTATTTATGTGTACAAAACACAATAGCACTGATAGTGACGGGACACCCAGAAGGAAATTGGTCACTTGAAGAATCTTAGAAGATACTTCATGAAGTTGGAACCCCCCCCTTTTTTTAATGTGCCAATTCAAATTTCTTTTCTCTAACACAATTAATGAAATAACTTCCTTTATGGCTAAGTTTTTGTTTCACACCTATTTGTCAAGTACTTACTTTTTGGATTATAATTATTGAAATATCTTTCACATTGAGTTGGGTTTTATGAGGCTAATATTTTGTCTTTGCTCTAGAACTGTCATAACAAAAGACTTCAGTTAGGTGGCTTTGTAGAGCCCGAAGCATGCCTACTGCCCTCAAGTTAATGCTGACTTAATGTGTTCCTCTAATGGGTTTTCCTGGTTGCCAGTCTTGTTGGATATAGACAGTCTCCTCTTTTGCCCAAGGGATTGCTGGTGCATTTGAACTGCAGACCTTTCTGTTTGCATTCCGATACACATTATTCCAGGACTTCTTGTTTCTTTCATAAAAAAATTACTAATTTGTTTTCACACAATTATTCATACATGGTATGTTTTCTATTATTTACTGTTACAAATTCTGATTCAGATTGTTTGCATTACTTTAAGATGCCAAAGAAAACTTGTTTTATTACCAAAGTAGAGTCCTCTCCCTCCTTAGACACAGATTAGTAGTGCAGCATAATAAAGTAAATTCTGTTCTTGTCTCTTACTCCCTGTGATGATTTTGTCTGTGAATAATTTGTTCTTGCTTAGGGCATGACAGGAAAAGAGAGCTTTCTGTGCCTGTGTTTGTGGTTAACCTTAGTCCTGGCATTTAATGGGATAACTGGGCAGTTAATGGAAACACTCATGTCTTATCTTGTTTCCTGGGGTGGACATTAAACCTGGATCTTCTCAATGTTGCAGGGGTGAATAGCCTTTCTCAGTCACTCAGTGCCAACCCATTGACCGCCACCACCCTCATCCACCTAGACCTCTCAGGGAATGTCCTTCGTGGAGATGACCTCTCGGTGAGTTGTACTTTCTTGGTTTCCATCTTCAGATAAATGTTATGTAATAGCCTGAACTGATTGTTAGATGATAGATACATTATAGTTTATTACCATGCATTTTTATTGTATCTTAATCTATTTACAGAGCTAAGTGTTTTAAGGAAAAATTCTATAGTTTTCCTTTTATTAAATATTGTCTAACAGGCAGGGGCAGTCTTTGTTGAAAACAGCATCATGTGGGGAAAGGTAGAGAATCAGAGAAAGAGAGGCAGAGCCCCAACAAGATGGGTAGACAAAGTGACTGTGACAGTGGGTCTGAGCTATGAGCTCAATGTCACCTAACAACATCATCACTATAGTTCTGTAGTTGTTATGGTCTTGCTTACTAATACTCAAATTCTAATTATTTTAAAACATACTCTGTTCATTTATGGGGTGTTTTGTTGTTGTTGTTTTTTTTAATTTGACATTCAAAAAACCTGTTACCACCAAGTCAAAACTAACTCAGAGCAGCTTTATAGGAAAAGATATATCTGTAAAATAAACTGTTTCATGATGCACTATTGCTTTATTTTTATATACAGTTTCTTAGAGCTTGCATGTATAGAGAGCTCTGGTGGCTTAGTGGTAAGGACTGTGCACTGTGGACTCAAAGGTGAATGGTTCAAATCTGCCAGTAGCTCTGTGGGAGAATGTGGGCAGTCTGCTTGCTTGAAATTTACAGCCTCTTAAAAGCTACTGAAGGGTCAGCCATGGGTCTGTTCTGACTCAAAGGTATACAGCAAAACAACAGTAGTTTGCATATGAAAGGGAATAACAGAGTAAACCCCAATCCAAATCCGTTTCCATCTAGTGGATTCTGACACATGACAACCCCATGTGAGTCTGAGTAGAACTGTCCTAGGTAAGATTTACACCCAGTTCTGATCTATTCTGCGAATACAGTGCGGGCATGAAAGGCAAGGATTAGGGGTAAACCAGGGCCATGCCTTGGAATTTGCATACATTTTTCCTTAATTGTAAGAATTTTCCATACATCTGAGTCAATAATATAAATGGTTGTCAGCTCTTTTCAATGCAGTAGGTTAGGTATGATGTCACTGCCATATGTGGTGAGTGGTCCCTGCTGATGACCATGACAAATTTTAGAACAAAGTCCTTGAACAAGAGAGCTTACAGAAAAGGGAACATCTTTGAAGGATCTTCATTTTCATTCTGTCATTGTATTGGGAATGGAAGGCACTGTGGAATGTATTGTTTTTCTTCTATTTCATTTCTTTGTTTGGCAGGCAATGTGGTCACAGCCCTTTTTTGTAGATTTGTTTCTTTTCTTTTCACTGGCACTTCAAATTATGTAAATAATACTAGTTTCCTAGGGTGCTGTGACTTTTCTGTGTACTTTCTGATTTCAATTGTCCTCACTAGCAATTCATAACTCTTGCTGACAAAGAAAAAACAAGAGGCCTGAGAACTAGAGAAAATAGAGGAAAGGATAAAAGAAACCACTAAATATGAAATAATAAAACTCACTAAAGTAATAGAATTAATAGTCACTTTAAGGTAACAGAATGGTCTGGGACTTTGTTGCTTGGTCACAGATGGATCTTGTCCAGGTTTGCCAATGTGAGTGGAATGGAAATGTCTTGGTTAGTGTGGGCTACCAGCTCCAGCTAAGCCAAGTTCTGAGAGCTTGCAACAGGTGCAGGAACTTGGAACCTCCCCATGCCTTCAGGGAACACAACCTTGCTGGGGCTGCTTCTTTGGAATATGATGGCCAACTTCAGGGTGATTAGAGCTCCCCCTGCTGGTGCCCAAGAGTAAAACCTCACCCATTTTACATGTCTCTGGGAAGTGAATTGGGAGAGTTCAATCATTATTGAAGAGTTGGAACTGATTCATACCTGACCCTTCAATGAGTTTTTAGAACCTGTATATCTCACCAGAGGAGATTGCTTATCTTTTACCCATGAAGTCACCTGTGGATTTGAACTGACAGAGAAATGCTACATTTGGGTTAGCAGCACTGTGCACTCTGTGGACTATGTCTCTGGAAACCACTACAGTTCGTTGACATCAAGGTGATCCCAACCCATCACTCACTCATTCACTTGCTATCAATTTGTGACCAAATATAGCAGACCTCCATTGATGTTCAGACACTTGAGAAGAGACTGCCCATCTTTTTCCCTCAGAAAATTTGAACTACTAGAGAGACATGACCTTTGAGTTAACAGTAAAACTCTCTATATAACAGTTTTTTGTGTACCATCGAGTTGAAACTGACTTATAGCTGACCCTCTAGTGGTTTTTTAAAGGCAATAAATCACACAGGAGAAGATGGCACATCTTTCTCCAATGGAGTAGCTTGTGGATTTGAACTATATACCTTTGGGTCCGTAGCTGCCATATAGAGTTTCCACATCTGGAATCTTGTATGGATGCAGACTATCTCATCTTTTTACTGTGGGTCAGCTGATGGGTTCGAATGTCCACTTTTTAATTAATGGTCAAGAGCTTAACGACTTGCTTTCTGGTAGTGTATATGGTGAGTTAGTTTAAAAGGTCTGTGTTTCTTTTGGGTTCAAATCCACCAGCTGCTCTGAGGGAGAAATTTGTATTGAGATTTACGACTTTAGAAGCCTATGGCATTGAGATTGAGGTGGTTTGGTTTTGGTTTTGGTTTTGCGGTTTTTGGTTTTGGGGTTTTTTTTTAAGTACTGAGAAAATTAAGCACCCATGGCCTCTTCATGTGAGAGCAAATGATTTTTTTTTTCTTCATGTGAGAGCAAATGATTTTTGTGTGTGTGTCAAGAAACCTCCATACATACTCGTCTGTGTATCTGCATATCCTGTTCATAGAATAATCTTTGTGTTTCTGAATTTCTTGATAGAGAACTTTTCTGAAGTACCATAAAGCCAAGCTTCTGAACGTCAAGCATATTTGTGGAGGCCAGGGACACCCTCAATATAAGCTTGCTTGTTTTTGCAATCATTGAGAGATTTCGGTGAAGTATAGGAGAATGTAGCTATTGGTCCAGTGGCAGGGGGTTTAGGCTCAGTTTAGTTTATTGGTGGGTACCTACAGTCAGTACCCACACAGGGCAATTAAAAAACAATGGAAAATTATCCATTCTACTGTTTTGATAGCCTGGCTGAGGGAAAGAGTTTGGATTTTATAATCTCCTAAAGGATTATGGCTATATGTTTGTTTTTGTTTGGCTTTTGTTTGTTTTGCACTAATAGTACAATCAGGCTTGTCTTGTTAGCTTTTTGAAGTTACTCGAACAACCATTATGTTGGATAGAAAGAGCCAGGCCTAGTTCAAATTCAAATTAGTGGTTTCTTAAACATTTTCAAGACTGATTAGCATTTTGATAGGATCACTGCAATTCAGGTGTTATTTCTATCTGAGGAGTTACAACTAATTAGCACTGTTCCAAAATTACATAATGAAAGTTGAATTAACTGGGGTGGGGGATGGAGAATGAAATCATGTGCAGTAGAGGTCAGTTTGGTAGCCAGAAATCCACGTGAATTTTTCTTTCTTTTTTTTTTTAACTCAAACATAACTTTGTTCTAAATTTTTTTGGTGTTGAGGGAGAGATTTTTGCTGTCAGCATAGAAAATTCTGCTTATCTTCTTGGGAAGAGCAAAGAAAGGTCTTGGGAGTTGGGACAACATTTATAAATAAATTGTTGTAGTGGAAGTGTGTTTGTTTCTAGATCTCTAACATACTTGTTTTTTGTTTTTTATTTCAAGTACATGTACAGTTTTTTGGCCCAGCCAAATGCCATTACTCATCTGGATTTATCCAATACAGAATGTTCCCTGGACATGGTAATGTTTTCTTATATTGCACTGAGGGGTCTTGGAAGAGCTATTTAGAAGGAATAAAAGGGGCTTTCTCTGTAATAACATGTTCTGCTGGACATGGAGGTGTTTGAAAACAAGTACTCATTATTTCTTTCCCAGGTTTGTGGAGCCCTTCTCCGTGGATGCCTTCAACATTTAGCTGTGCTCAATCTCTCCAGGACCGTCTTTTCTCACCGGTATGTATTTTCTCCTGCTGTTGTTTTCTTCTGAGAGTCTCTTTCAGAGAAAGTTCTAGTCACCATGAGGACAGATAATCTGATAAAGGGTCAATATTACCCATGAAAAATTAATGTTGTCTTAAACTGTTATCTAAGAATATTTGGACCTGAAAGTTCAAGCTTTTGTTACTTTTGTCCATCTTGGATTCATGTTCATATCAAGAACTCGAGCCTCCTATGCCGGATGGTAATGTTCTTTTCCCCCAAATGTGGTTAAGTACTCTCTCTCTTACTGTAGCAACAAAACAAAACAAAACAAAACCAAAACCAACAATCACCAAAGAACTCAAAATCCTTTTAGGAATTTAAACCCAATTTCTCAGTTATTATCTTGTAAGTAAGTCTAAATTACCTCTGGAGAATATGAAGGATAGTCATTCCAAAACTCATGAATTTTAATTTTTAGATGTATCAAGAAAACCTAAAACTCATTGCCATTAGGTCAAGTCTTCCTCATAGCTGACCATCCAATAGAAATTTTGAGACTGTAAATTGCATAGGAAGAGATTTCCTATTTATCTCCCTTTGAGTCACTGGTAAACTCAAGCTGCCAGAAAGGCTCAGTCTTTGGGTTAACAGTGCATCTCCCTTTGGTCTACAACACCAGTATAGGACCCGTATAATAGGGAGCACTGTTGGTTCAGTGGTAAGGGATTGTGCTGCCAATGAAAAGATGTTGTTGTTTTTGTTGTTGTTGTTGTTATTAGGTGCCATCAAGTCGTAGACGACTCATAGCAACCCTATGAATGAAAGGCCTGAGCACTCTTCATAGTGTTTCCGGAGTAAGCCTTTCAGAAGTGGATGCCATTCCTGCTTCCAAGCTTGTTTTAATCAGGAAGCTCCACCAAACACTGTCCACCACATCAGTGTCACAGTGTTCAGCATTACAGCACCCACAAGTTACCTCTGTACAGCAGTGCACAGACCAGTGCTATATCACAGTTTAGTAAAGATACATAGTTTAAATCCACCATCCACTTCACTAGAGAAAGATAGGCGTCTCCTCCTGAAGAGTTTACTGCTTCTGAAAACCCCCTAGAGGGTCAGCTATGGGTCAGTTCTAACTGGATGGTATATGACACCAACTCTGCTTTGGACTTAAAATTATTTGTAAAATAGGCAACATATTAGAAGCAGCAGGGATTTACAAATAGCGTCAACTTCAAATGGAGAGAGATCACAGAAGAATTTTGAATAGTCTGTAGGTTATTTTAAAATAGTATTCTAATAGCATCTTGAGTGTTAATGTAGTACAAGAGAATTCTTATACCCAGATTTGTTGTTGTTGTGTAATGTTGAGTTTGAAACCCATAGCTGATCCTCCAGCAAGTTTTCAGGAGCAATAATTCACATGGAAAGAGATTATCCATCATTCTTCCATGGAGCAGCTAGTGAATTTGAACCACATACCTTTGTGTTGGCAGCACAGTTCCTTACCATTCAAACTCCCTTATTTCCAGAACTCATAAGCAATATTTTAGTCATTTCATGCTGTTTAATAACATGAGGAATTGCTTGATATTTTTATTTTTTATTAACTTTTTAAATGCTTTATATTCTCAAAAGAGTGATCCTCATTTCTAAAATTCAGATATGTGGCATGCTTTATTTCACAGTGGTATTTTGTAAATGGATTATTTACTATTTTAATGTACTTTTAGTTTAGTTTAGTAAAAGATGTCCCGGCACCAGCTGTTAACTAAATGGCTGGTGGTTCAAATCCAACAGCTACTTCATGGGTGTGGCAGTCAGTTTCCATAGCACTTATAGCTTTGGAAATCCTATGAGGCAGTTCTACTGTCCTCTGTGGTCATTGTGATTTGGAATTGATTTGATGGCAACTGAGTATTGGTACAATACTTTCAACAATAGTATAAACCTTTTTGGTGGCAAAACTGTGTCACAAATCTTCCATAAAATAATGTCAAAGACTATAAAGTCTAGGAAGGCTTACAATAACTGTGGGTTTGTGATCTATCCATTAGGAGCTGGCTATGGCCCTGTCTACATTCACCTTTACTCTAGGCTATGCAGCAGCATCTGTTGGGAATATCTTGCTAGTCTTGTGACAGAGGAGAAAGAAATCATGGCAGGACAATACTGGCTCCTAAAGTTCCTGCCTAAAAGCATTAGATCTGCTCATGCCCAGTTGGTCAAAGGAATTTGCTTAGTCACGCCTGCCTTCAGTGCTATGGGGAAACAATTTTCCCTCTGAAAAAGGCAGTGAAATTGGCTGCATTTGATATATCCATTCTGCTCTGAGACAAAGTAGCAGTTATATTATGTTTACAAAGAAAGCAACATTTGTAGCAGGAAAATGATACTAAAAAAAAAATATAGCATCATTTGCTCCAAATGTTCATCTAAAGAATGAACAGGAATATTTGCCAGGTTATATTGTTTGACTACCTGGAACTAGAGATGTTTGAACTGTGTAATGTTACATTTTACCAGAATTCCCTTTTTATCTGCTCAGCAAGAGATTCTGATTGCATAGCTCTTTTCTTACCAAATAGTCTGAAATTGTCCTGTTTTCAAACTCTTTTCAAATAGTGATAAATTTTCCCACATCTCTATGCATTAAGTACTATATGGGTGAACTAGACCACTAGGAGGAGGCCCTATGCCCCGAGAGTCTCTTAATTTTTCCACAGACTATGAATGACTGTGATTAAATGAGTGCTTACTGTATGCTGAGGTAAGTGCTTTCCACACACAGATACTTCAATCCTTCTTTTGTTTTCTCACAAAGAACAGGACAAGAACAATGATCCCATTCTAACTTTAGATCTTGAATCTTGTTTTTCTTAAATATCGGTAATGTGATGTTGGTTGTTGAGCTGTTTGACTTGACTGACTTACTTCCCACTATAATAGCATGGGAACCTATTTCAAGGTGTTACATATTTCCTCTTGAAGTTTCATCTTTATTTTCACCTTCAGCTTGAACCAGTTTGATTTTCAGGGTGTACATCTTGGCTGAGCAGGCTTCATGCCACTGGACTTTCTGTACTGTTCTCCTCATAATGTTAAGGTCACAATCTTGCACCTATAACGTGCTGTTCCTCAAAACTCTTGCCAAATGCGAGTAGTAAGTCTTAACATTCAAGGCTGCCAAGTGTGAAAACTTTTTAAATCGGTAACAAATACGTGTCTTCTTTCACTCCTGTTCCCTGAAAGTCTAAATAATTTTCTGAAAAATCTAAGGTTAAAAGACAATGAGTTGGTTGCTCATAAAAACTAGGGGGGAGAAAAATTGTTCAGTGTTTAATGAGATGCCTTAAACTCTCCCATCATTCCTTTCATTGTATGAAATCCATTCATTTAGGTTTCAAATATTTTGGGGTTTTCTTTCCCCCTTTAAATTTCCACTAGTTTATGAGTTATTTCACTATGTATGAGTAAGAAATAGATAGTTATATTTGTTGAGATGCTTGAGCATTTGGAAATGTGTGTGTTGGGATGCAAGTGTAATTGCTAACCCCAACTCTGGCATTTTGTTTTTCAGGAAAGGAAAAGAGGTGCCTCCATCTTTCAAACAGTTTTTTAGTAGCTCCCTGGCTCTGATGCAAATCAACCTTTCCGGCACAAAATTGTCTCCTGAGCCCTTAAAGTGAGTGATAAATTAATTCTTCCCAAAGCTTTTCGAGTTCCATTTATTGTAATGGATGTGTTGAGGGGAGGGAGAAAGACATAACCTGAAGAGGAGAATGCGTTCATCATACTCTGGTCACCAGAGTAAATGAAATTCTTTTTGATCTTGAACGAGTACACCATACACTATTTTTGCGTCTTCTACAAAAAGAATAAAAAAAAAAATTGGGGGGTTATGACCTTGGCAATTGTCGCTGATCTTTTATAAGAATTATAAAGCTTATAAGTACCATTGACTTTATTTTGACCCCTTCTCAATCCTTCTTAGATATGTTACTGTCTGATTTTTAAAATCAATGTTTATTTTAAATATATCAACCAATAGGAGTAATCAAAATCTGTAAGTATTGTATGCATACAGCTGAATCAAGTTTTAGGTTTTTATTTCTGAATTATCTAAGTCAGTATGTGTTCTCTTTGGCGGTTCAGAATTTTTTTTGGCTGCCCAATTTATATTATTGGTTAATATCCACTTTGTAAATGTAGCCATGAAGTAAAAATGTTTGATAACAGAGGCGTGAAATAATGTTATCCTTTATATTCCTGTTTAGCCTTGCCAGGAACATTCAGAAGTTCACTGTATAGGTCCTATAGATTCAAATTCTCTATGAGTCTGAAGACAATATTCTCTAAGCAGTTATGTATATGTACATTGTCAGATATGCATAAATGCACAGATTCCTCCTTCCTCAGCTAACATGTAAATCAGCACTACATTTCCCTTCAAATTCATGCGGAATGTTAAAGCAAATGACTGCTATTCATTTGACTAGAGACTAATCATTATGTAATTTATGAGCAACCACTTTGTTTTCCTTTTGAGAGGTATAAAATTCTTTGTCACAGTATTCAATTTAGCACCTTACTTCTAAAATAATGCTGGCTTGTTAGAACAGTCATTATTAGGTGCCATCGAATCAAGTATGACTCATAGCAACAATATATGCAACAGATCTGAACCCTGTTCTATCCTATGCCATCAGTAGATGCAGTAAAATGCTTTAACATGGGGTTAAAGGTGAGGAGATAAAAAATAAAACCAAATGCCATTACAGCAGGTGTTTGGAAAGCACGACGACCAAAACATTGAATTAATAGGTTGCACCCAAAGCAAAACAAAGTAAAAAACACCACCACCACCAACAAAACCAACCCAACACTACCATCAAGTTGATTCTGAGTTATAGTGACCCTGTGGGACAGAATAAAACTGTCCCATATAGTTTGAAACTGCAATTTTACAGAAGCAAATGGCCTCATTTTTTTTTTCCTACTAAGAGGCTAATGGGTTCAAACTGCCAGCCTTTTAGTTAACAGCTCCACACCTTATACACTGTGCCACCCTTTGCCACCAACTGCTCCTTGAATTAATAGATTACAGGTCTATAAATGTGTTGCTGTAAAGAGTGAAAAATCTTGTACTGATTCTGTTTATATGGCTATTAATAAAGCTGTCAAAGACAATATTTTAAAAGAGCCCTGTGGGATTATATTTTAATCATGTTTACTTAAACATTTGCTCAGCTAATATTGATTGAAAATCTACGTTATACCAGATAACATGGGACCTTGAGTAGAAAGCAGAGCCAGACATAGCCCTTATCCTCGTTGTTTATATCAACGGGAGATTAGCATATTCATTTTGTTGAGAGGGACACAGAATCCTATAGCTTTTAAAAAAAAACCTTTGATCTTTGTATTTTTTCATGATTGGCATACTTGATTTCATAGAATATTACATACTATAATATCACTCTATTTCTTATATGTTCATATCATTATATATTTTAAACATTATTTTACAGAAATAGCTAATAATTGTTAAATTTTTGCAATTTTTTTTAGAATATTTAATATCAAATTAATTGTTTCTTTAGCTCTTATTTGTCTCAGTAAAAAGTGTGAGGTTAAGGGACTTATAGCTGAAGGTTTCTGTAAAACAAATTCTACAGTTGGCTCATATCCTCATATTCTGTATCACATGTTCAGCCCACCCAGGATAGAAAATATTCTAGCAAGCAGGGCAATTATGTGTCAAAAAACAATTCCTCAAAGGCTAAGAGGGAATATGAAGTACTATTTACACAGTATTTGCATTGGGTTAGGTGTTAAAAGAATCTGGAAGACACAATCAGGGTACTTTTTATTTAGAGGCAAGGATGCTAAAACTTTGTCTTTCATGCTTTGGGCATGTAGTGTAGAGAGGGACTAGTCCTTGGAAAAAGGCATCATACTGGGAAGGTAGGGGTCAACCAGAGAGAGGAAGCTCCTCACTGATGTGGACACACAGAGATTGTCACAATGGTCTTGACATAGAAGAGATGGTGTTGATGTTGCAGAATGGGGCTAGGTTCAGATCTGTTGTCCATAGGGTCTCTATGAGTCATAGTTAGCTTGGTACCACCTAACAATAACAAGAGATGAAATAATGTATATTAGAAGACTTCCTCAACAATTTACCTCTTTGCTATCAAGTCAGTTCCACTATTTGGCAATCCTCCATTGGGTTCATAAGAAGATAGATTACAACAGGAGGAGACTTTAGCTAGTAGATTCGAGCCACCAGAGAATCTCTGCACAACTTGTTATGATTTATACCATCAGAACTCCCTTGAAGATCTGCAGTAGTTATATGCAACTGTTATGCCATTCAAAGATCTCTTGTGGCACAGTATATGTTGTTTTCTCAACTGAAAGGTCAGCAGTGTAAATTCACCAGCTTCTGCTCTAAGGCAGAAACATGTACATTCTCCTGTAATAAAGATTATAGTCTCAGAAACTCCATAGAATTTTGGAATTAACAAATGTTAGCAACGGGCTTTGGTTTGCCCCTTTATGCAAAAGATGTGAACATCCCTATGGAGGGAGATATATCATGGAACCAATTCCTTTGGAACTAAGGGATGACTTTATATGAACTTTGAAATGATTATACAATTTGAAAAATCATCATAAAACTAGGGACCCAATTTTACCTACAAGAGGTTGAAGGTGTAAGGGAATTTCCATGACAGTATCGTGGTTAAAAATTCAGCTGCTAACCCAGAGATGAGTGGTTCAAATCCACTCAGTGGCTCCTCTGAAAAAAAGAGCTGACAGTTTATTCCATGAAACATTTAAAGTCTATGAAGTTTTGCAGGAAGGTTCTAGTTTGTTTTATAAGATCACTATAAATTATAATTCATGAACTCTGGAAGTTATAGTGCATAATGCATCAGCTGCTAACTCAAAGAACTGAGGTTTGAATCCACCAGGGTTCCAAAGGAGAAAAATGGGCAGTCTCCTCTTGTAAAGATTTAAAGCTTTTGAAATCCACTGGATTCCTATAAGTTTTAATTTATTCTGTGGTAATGCATTCTTCTGTTTGTTTTTTTCCCATTTGTTTGTTTGTTTGTTTGTTTGTGTCTTTGGGGTTTTTGGTTTTTGGGTTTTTTTGTTTTTTTTTTAGTCAGAATCAGAATTAATTCTACACAATAACTTTATGCTCTGCATGGACGACCACCTTTAATGTTTGAACAGGCAATGAAAGAAGTTGTTGATCTTAGCCCATTTCACTTTTGAGGAAACGGATGCTCAGAGAAGCCGAATTATTTCCCAGAGGTCACTATTGTAGATTGGGAAGCTGACTTTGAAATGGAGATTAGCAAGAAGAATGATGATTTTAATATGAAAGTGTTTTGGGGATGACCACTTCTGAAGGGAGGAGGAGGAAGAACACGGGATTCAGCAGAGGGAAAAGTTGAACTGGAAGCCGTTTCAGTAATAACCTCAGCTGGCCCTGGTGCTGGGTGGCTCCTTCAGAGCTGTCCCAGATCAGGCAAGGAGGCTGGGCTTTCTTTCTTCTTCCATATCAGTCCTTAGATGAAAGCTTCCCTAGAAGAGGGCATGGCCTCAGGTGTGGCACGTTTCTTCATGGAAGAAGATCTGAGATATGAGTTATAGCAGGTCCCACGTGTCAGCCAACCCTCCCTGGCTCAGGGCTGTACCTTATCCCCACTGCCTTCTTCTGAACCCAAAAGTCTTAAGGAAGATTCTTGTTTCATGAGGGGATTGGCATCAACCATGAGAATAAAGAAAAGCAATTTCTTTTGATAGTTAACCCTTTAAAGTTGAATATAACACTTTTAAAAGAACTTTCCACTTGGGATTCCTTCCATATGGTACAAAGAATATAACTGTTTTGTTTCATAATTATGCTTTTCTTTTGAAGTTTATTTGGTCGTGTTAAAATATGCCAAGGAGACATTCAAAGAATGCAGAACAGCCCTGGGGGCATAGCATGTAATGTATGTTGCTAACCTAAAGATTGATAGTTTGAATCTACCAGCCAGTCCTCAGGAGAAAAATGAGAAATCTCCGCCCATAAAGATTTACAGCCTCAGAAACCCAATGGAGGGTCACTGTGCCTTGGAGTTTCCTGACTAATGTAGTTCACCTGTGTTCCAAGGCTGGTCCTTTCCTCCATCAAGGCTGAAGATGTCATGGGAGTGTATAGTTTTCATTCCATTCTTTCTGTGGCTCTCTCTCTCCTCTTGTTCCTAAACTCTTACGACCTCCCTCCCACAGAGTTCCCCTTGGCCCTCACCCCATCTCTCTGGCTAAGTATTTTCAATAAACTTACCACATGCACATTTCCAAAATTATAACCACAATCACATATCTAGAGCTGGGAAAATGAAGTATAAATTCTCTCTTAGTCAATTTTTTAGTAATGCCTGAAGATCAAGAGGATAATTCTCAAGGCAGTTTCTTCTATCTCTCAGTAAATTATGTCCTGCCACACTGTTCTCCCCAGGTAGCCATTAGAGTTTGTTGTTGTTATTCGGTTTTATTTTTATTAAGGACACTTTCTTTGGGCTATTTATTTTTACTGGTCTCAGGAGTGGTTGCCTTTTCATCTTTAGCATTTGATAGTTAAAATCTTCTATTGCATCTCCATTGTACACTTGCAATTCATCCACATACAAGAAGTGTAGGAAGCATTTTCCATCTAAGCATTATAAAATATCATGGTAGAATGTGTGGTTAAGTGCTAGAAACTCTGCGCACATCTTTGTTTACATCTTGACTTTTATTGACTGATGAGAACCTGATGAGACACAATGAGAAAGGGTGATTTGCTAAAGCTCACCAAACAGTAAGAGAATCAGGACAAAATGGTCCTTCCTATAGTTTTTCAAGATAAAACTCTTCCAGCTGCTTAATAGTGCCCCTAGCGAGCTCTGGTGACTTAGTGAGTAAGGAGTTGTGCTGCCAACCCAATGACAGGCAGTTCAAATCCACCAGCTGCTCTGTGGGAGGAAGATGGGCAGTCTCCTCCTGTGTAACTTAATTAGCAATAAGTCAGTTCCATCTCAACAACATGTAACAATAACAGCAATACTCTCTCCAGGAAAGAAAGGGGAAGGAAAGGGGGGCAGGGGAAATTAAATATATTCATATATACGTCTATACTGTTCATATCTGTTCTTATGTTCATTTACTATTCATACATGTATGTGGAGGAAACATTTGCACAGGGCACGCTTAAGGCTTAGTGAAATGCAGTACAAGACATTCACTAGCACTTTGGTCTATAATGGAAGTGGTTTTTTCTGGCAGAAAGCAACTTAGCCCCTTGAGCTCCTTGCTTCCTGCTGGGATTCCACCTTGATGAGTGAGTCCAGAGAATATCAGAAGAGGGAAAAATATCTCAGAGAGCTAAGCATGAAATACACTGAAACCTGTAAGAGATGCAGCTCTGTGGAATTGCCTTGTTTTTCTGGGCATTGCAAGTTTTCCACTTTTAACAAGGTACAGCCTTCACATTTCATTCTCTCTCATTTTAATGGAAAACATTTGCATTTTCATTGCCTAATGGGTTTCTGCCTTCCACAGGTTCTAGATTTTGCAAGTTTGTAATTGTAATTACCTAATGAAGCCTTGAGACACAAACCTCACTCATACCTTGAGGTGTTTTTAGAGTATGTTAGGCAGTGCTCCTTTACCTGGGAACAATGATTAGGTAGTCACTTATGGATCAGATGTACTGATCTGACTCTCTCACAGTACTTACAACACTCCATCTGTCTTTATATGGTAGTTATTTGCACACGTGCTTGTTCCCTTGCTAAAGCTAAGAGGAGCTCTCTTGTGCTCATTTGATACTCCTCACAGGGCCTAGGTTAGGGCCCTTCCTTCCCTTCTCTAATTTGATGGATGCCTGTGCAAGTATGAAAAGTGTATTTCAAGCCTACTCGCTGGTATTGGACAAATCCAACTGCCTCAATTTTCAAATGAGGGAATTCCTTCTCAGAAAAGCCCTGTAGTTTGTTCAGACTATCTCTTGGTGGGACACCCATGATCCTGGATTTGAACTCAAGGTTTATACCTTATTTCCAGTGCTTTCATACCCTTCCCCATTCCAACTCTGGACACTGACATCATGCCCCTTGATGAATTGTGACTCTACAGGAGAGACTGTTATTATTGTAGTTGTTAAGTGCCATCAAGTTGTAGGTGACTCATAGCGACCCTATAAACGAAAGTTCTCAACACTTGTGTGACTTTCATCTTTTCTCCAGATTCATAGGGTTTCCAGAAGCAAGCTATTATGGAAGTGAATGCCACTCCTCCTTCCAAGCTTGTTTTAATTGGGGAGCACCGCCAAACACTGTCCACCATGGGTAACCATGAATGCATTTGACATATCAGTGTCACAGTGTTCAGCTTCACAGCAACCACAGGTTACCTCTGCATGGCAGGTGGACACACCAGGGCTATGCGACCTAGAAAACTGTTTGAAAAAAAAACAGTGAAAAACAGGCCTGAGGTCCCTGGATTAGAGTCACCTGTTTTTGGCTTGGTAACATCAGTTTCTCCCCACTAGACCAACTGATCTCTCTCTTTGTTGGTGTTATTGTTGTTAAGTGCCATCAAATCATAGGCAACCCTATGAACAAAAGTCCTCAACACTTGTGTGACTTTCATCCTTTCTCTAGGTTCATAGGATTTCTGGAGGCAAACTATGACAGAAGTGGATGCTACTCCTGCTTCCACAGGACAGACTAGAACTCCCAAATTGTTTGCAAAACTGTAATCTTTACGAGAGCAGACTATTCCCTTTGGAACTGGTGGTGGATTCAAACCACAGACCTTTGGGTTAACAGCCAAAACCCCTTAACCACTGTGCTACCAGGACTCCATTCCCATCTCTGTAGGTGCTTTAATAAACTCATCCAGTTATAATTTCACATCCTGGAGTCTGTGAAGCCTGGAAGAATCTTCCCTAATGTATTCCTTAGAGAAAACCAGCTTTCACTGTGCTACTCTAATAACAATTGCCTAATAATATTCTAAACATTATTAAAGCTGTTCTCAAGCAGATGCAGGTGGGGATTTATCTATGATGAACACCATCTAATCTCCATGTGCAATTAAGTGTACAGTCAGGCTATTTGCATAGGAATAGCAGTCCTGTTAGGTTTTGCATGAATGATAGACGAATGCTGCAGTGTCAGGTTTCCACTGCTGAGAGAGGCAGACATGCAACTGGCATCTTAAAATGTGTGATGTGCTTGACCTGTGTGTTTCAGACAACGCTGTCTTCCTTTCTAGAGTTTTATGCAGTATGCTTGCTTTTTCCCCCTTTTGTTTTGTTTTGTCTTTTATGTGTGTGATGGGCAGGATTTTGTATCTAACGTGTGTATGTTTTTTCCCTTCAGAGCGCTGTTATTGGGCCTGGCATGCAATCATAGCTTGAAGGGGGTTTCTCTTGATCTCAGCAACTGCGAGGTAAGAAAACCTTTAGAGCGTGTGCTGGAATAGATAGATAATAGGCCCCAAATTGTCTTGGGTTTTTTTCCTGGGGAAAAAAAAAATGTGATACTGTTATTCCACCAGGTATAATTGAAGCAGAAAAACATACACAATACAAGTTTCTGATGTGCTGTAGCAGAGAGCACCATTCAGAAAGCACTCAAGTATGTTCTTAATGACTTGGTTTTTTCCCAGACTCAGTGTCTGTTGTCTAAGTCTTTTATGATAAAGCCTTTTTAGAGCTATAAAGCTATAAACTTGCTTCACCATCAGGAGTGTAGCACACACAATTCCTTGCAGAGGGCTTAGGTTTACATTACAAAAGAAAACCCTCATTGATGTCAAGCAGGAACCAATTCATAGTGACCCTCAATTGGGTTTCTGTGGCTGTAAATTGCACAGGAGGAGACTGCCCACTTTCTCCCTCGGAGCTTCTGGTAGAGTGGAACCAGCAGACAGACATGTCTTTTGGGTTAGGAGCCCAACTCCTATGGACTCCGCCATCAGACTTGAACCTGAACTGAGGTTCTTTTCATCCATATTCCTTAGCCCTCACTTTAAGAATGTTTCTAGAACATTCTTAACATTTCCCTCTACTTCCCCTATATCTCTGTCTTTGAGTAGGTCAAACCCAATTTCTTCTAGAGTTCAGCTCCTAGTTTTGCCCTTTCTGGATATGGAAATCTAGTTGAATTACTTGATAGGATAAACCTCAATTTCTACATCTGCAAAATGAAAATAATACTGCTATCTCTATCAGTGGATTGGTACAAGATTTAAAGGAGCCCTTCTTTGAAAACTCCTGTCAAGTTCCTGGGTGGTAGAGATGGTAAAGTGCTTAGCAGCGAGTGAAGATATTGGGGCTTTGAACCCACTCAGAGATGATTTGGAAGGTGTTATGCTTCTGGTAGGTCCCTGCCTTGAAAATCCTACAGAGCAGTTTTCCATGATTTGGGGTTGCCAAGAGTTAGAATAAGCTCAGTGGTGATTAACAACAAAAATAATCATCGACAACTGGTAGCATAAATTAAACACACAAAGATTATTTGCTTATGTTGTTTAGGTATCTAGCTAATCATCTATTTCTAGAATTTATCCCCTTTCTACTATAGCCCTTTATGATCTCCCCATCCCCCTTTTCCTGTCTGGAGCATTTAATCACAGGACATCATGTATGTGGTGACTGGGCCATGGAGTACCTAGCATGTTGATTTAAGTGGTACCTGTTTGCTCTCACACCTCCTTCGTAGCTTTCTGGAGGGCACGATTCGTATGACTTTCTTTTGTTTCCTTTAACTTCTGCTGCCATGCCAGTTACCAAGCCAACACTAAATAGTCAATATGATTAACACTCTCCACATCTGAGAAAGTCTAAAAACTGAAAAGTCTTAAATATTAGTGTATTTTTAGTGTAGAATTTCTTTATAATTTTAAAACTGAAGTGAATGAAAACTGTGCTAGTTTCCTAGTTTTCAAACCAAGAAAAGGATGGCAGTCTCCTCCCATGAGATTTACCTCTGAAAACCCGCCGGAGGTTCAGCTATAGGTTGGATCTGATTTGACTCAATGGCACACAACAGCAACGGTTTCTAACCAGAACAAAACAAGGAAGAAGCTATACCCTGCCTTTCTGGAATTATCCTGTGTTAATCAACAGCCTTTCATTCATAAAGACAGACTATGAAATAGCAATCATGTTCTAATCATATGGCTTAATTGTCTGTTTCCCAGCAATTTAATAAGGTGTATGCTAATAATAAAAACTTTTATGAGAATGGTAAGTAGGAAAAAGGGAAATTGGAAGGCTTAACCTAGCAAAATAAGCAAGCAAAAATAAACAACAGCACTGACCACACATGAAATTGGTATAAATTAACTTCTCTGGTGGTGTACTCTGTAGTGAGTTGTACCATTAACCCAAAGGCTTTTGCTTCTCTGGAAGTTCGAATCCACTAGCAGCTCTGAGGCAGAAAAATGAGCAGCCTCATTCTGTGTTACTTATAACCTTTCAAAACACCACTGGAGTATCAGCTAAAAGTCTGTTTCAAATAGACATGAGTTTGAGATTTTGGCATTTATTATCTTGAATCATTGACTTATCAATGATCTATTTTTGTATTATGTTGATTTTACTTTTTTGTTATACTGATAGTACTTTTTAATTATATTGATTTTACTTGTACTATATTGATTGCCTATCATGACCACTGTTGTCGGTGTTATGTGCTGTCAAGTCACCTGAAGCCATAGCAACCCTATGTATTGTAGCTCTGGATGTTTCCCTGTTCTGAGCCAGTCTCTCTAATTCTGACACACCAACTTCCATTGCCCCAGTTACTGAATCAATCCATCTCATCTGGGATCTTCCTCTCCTGCACTGTCCCTCCACCCTTACATGTATGATGACCTTCTTCACGGACTGGTCTCTCTTGGTCATGTGCCCAAAGTATGTGAGATGGAGCTTCAAAGTCTTAGCCTCCAAGGAGAAACTTGGTTTCACCCTCTCCAAGATAGACCTTTTTGTTTTCAAGACTCTTCTCCAGCACCACAGTTCAAAGGCATGAATTCTCCTTCTGTCATCCTTAGTCATTGTCTACCTTTCACAAGTAATTGTGAAGACCATGGCCTGGGTTAGGTGCACCTTAGTCTCTAGACAGACATCCTTGCTTTTCAGCACTCTAGTGCAATTTATCTGTTGATGTCCTGACTGCCAATGCCAAGAGTGTTGATTGTAGATCCAGGCAAGATATCATTATTAAAAGCCTCAATAATCTCTTCTCCATCTATCATGGTCTTCTTGAAATTGAGCTTCAATCTATATTGAAGACTAAAGTCTTTGACCTTCTGCAGCAAGTGCTTCAAGTCTACAATGATAAAATCTCCATTGTCATTCTATGATCAAAGAAAGCTGCTCTCTATGTATGTGATGATCTGGTCTCCTTACTTCAGATGTAAGGAATGTAAGAAAATATGTGAAGCATAAAGAAACTGAAATAACCCAGCTTGCCAGTTGTTATGTGACAATGAGTTGGAACCAACTCATAACTGACCCTCTAGCAGTTTTTCAGAGGCTATAAATTGCACAGGAGGAGATTGTCCGTCTTTCTTACTTGGAACATCTGGTCGATGTGAACCACCGCCTTTGGATTGGCAACACTACTCCTTACCCACTAAGCCACCAGAGCTCCAGAGTAAAGCCATAATTTAAATATGCTTTCCTGATTCTTAGTCCTTTGTTTTACAGTAGTATTAAGAAGTATGCTTACATGCTTATCTTTCAAATAAGTTAGTGTTGTATGACCAAAGAACACTGTAATACATTGCTCTCTAGCCTATCTTTTAAATGTCTTTATGATCTTGTTGAAAATAAGTTTCAAAGACAGTTCTGTAGGTCAACCATATAAAGTTGCTGTTTTAGAGGGTCAAAAATCGTAGACAACTGGCAGTTTTATTTCATTCAACCTAATAAGTAATAGACTTCTTTCTGAATAACTTTTGAAAATATTTTATTATTTTTTAATATAATATATAAAATTTATATCATTTTATATAATGATTACATTATGTTCTGTTCATATTATTATGTTTTATACAGTTACTTTTTAAGATAATTATTAACGGCAGGAATCCAAATCAAATGATTGCTCCCTGGTGATAACTGGCCATTGTTATTTTGATAGTTCCAACTTCATTTTCTCAATTTGTTTATGAATTATATTATAAATGATACTTCTACAGAGATGAGGAGATCTTAGAATCATTTTAGTGCAGGCACACTGCAGAGATAATGCAGGTTTGGTTCTAGATTCCTGTAATGAGTCTGACAATAATGCCAGTCATACAAATTTTATGGTTTTCCATTGCATATAAATGTTATTTTTATGCTATTTTTTAGTTTACCAAGTGTATGGAAGCATTATGGAAAAAACATGAGATATTGTGAGAATTCACACAATGTGATACAGTGACAAAAATGAATGTGTGTTGTTGGAAAAAATGGCATTGACAGACTTCCCCAATGCAGGGTTGCCACAAAACTTTCAGTTTGTAAAAAACCTCAACCTCTGTGAAGCATGCCTGTACCCTGATTTCTCACCATTCTTCTATAGGGTGGGTTTGTTTGTTGTGTTTTTTTCTTTTTCATAGCCTTTTTTTCTCTACTAGTTTATTTTCAAAAAGCGAATACAAATTTAAACAAATTATTTCAATTTCCCTCACCACCCCCACAACAAATTGTATGATCCAATGATTAGTTCTCCCTCCCCTTGCATATCCTCATCCCTCTGCTTCCAGCCTCCCCAACCCCTCCTGGTTCCTTATACTCCTTCTATAATATTTATCCTTATGGGACTGAGTTCGTTCACTCAGCCTAATGCTCTCGAAGTTAGGTAATAATTTACAAAGTTATTACTCCTGCATGCTGCATAATTATTCCATTGTGTGAATGTACCATAATTTCTCAATCCGTTCATTTGTGGCTGGACATTGAGCTGTTTCCATGTTCTTCTGATGGTAAATAATGCTGCTATGAACATTGGTGTACAAATCTCAGTTTGTGCCTTAGTTCTCATAATCTCAGTATATATTCCAAGTAGTGGAATAGCTGGGTCATATGGAATTTCTATGTTCAGCCTTTTGAGGAAGCACCAAACTGCCTTCCAAAATGGTTGCACCATTTTACAATATCACCAATGATGTATGAGTTCCTTTCTTGCCATATCCTCTCCAGCATCTCTTACTTGCTGCCCTAGTAAACTTTGCCATTCTTACTGGAGTGAGATGGTACCTCATTGTGGTTTTTATTTGCATCTTTCTTATGGCTAGTGATTTGGAGCATTTCTTTATGTTCCTGTTTGCCATTCCAATATCTTCCTCTCTGAAAATTCTTTCCATGTCTTTTGCCTATTTTGTAATTGGGTTATCAGTCTTTTTCTTGTGGAGGCCCAGGAGTATTGTGTAAACTTTTGTTATAACCA